TTTATTTGCTTCTTTCTACGTATATAATAAAATGTGCTAGCTTGAGTACTGTGAGAAAAGTTATTTCTAAATTTTGCTGGAGGAAGATGTTTTTTAATTGTAGTTTAAAATTTTTTCAGGTATAAAAAGTTGTACGTAACTGAACGCAGATAAAACATTCTAACATACATTTATTATTAATAAAGTTTTTGTAAAAATATGTAGTCTAATTCATTATGACCTTTAGATAAATGGTGCAGTAACTTGGAAGAATTGTAACACTAATGATCATGTTCAGATCACACAATTACGCATTTCTCCAGATCCAGTTAAAGTGCCTGGAAACATTACAATTACTGGGTCATTTACTTCGACAAGAGACATAGATGGACCAATCGAGGTTGGCATTAATAAACATATGATAATAACAAAGATTTTGTCATGATAATGTGTTTTTTTTTGTTAAAATAGTTGACTAATGATGTTAAACTGGAAGTCTTCCTTTTGGGATGTGCTTTCGGTGAGACATATCGTTATCCTGATGCATGTGCACAATTTTGTCCAGTTCAAAGATTTTGTGTATGTCCATTGAAACAAGTAAGTCAACTGACATATTTATGAGTATAGGCACATCTTTCAACACACATAGTTAGACCATAGGAAGTGCGATAATAACTTGTCTCTTCTAAGACAATTTAATAGTGGAGTAGGTGGCACATAGATGAAGAGTTTGATTATCTCGATCAGTTTTGTCATTTCTATATTTATTATATTTAGGGTAAAAATGATATAAACGGAGTGTTGGTTTTCGATAAAAGTGTTCCTTCTGGTAAATATTGTATGAAAGCTACATTCAAAGAAAATGGAAGACAGTTTGGCTGTGCTGATGTAAAACTCAATATCGCGTAAACAATAACAAACTCTTTTTGTCTATGTAAAATAAAATAATAGAATTAAGATCACTTACTTAAAACTAAATAAAGTTTTTAAGTCATAAAAAGGGGTTACATTTGCTTTACAGCAGTGTAATTCTAAGTCTACAAGATTCAGCATTAGATTCTAAACAGTAAGAACTGCTGTTTTAAGTTATTGGTAAAAGAATGTTCACTTGACCAACTGTTCTTTTAATCAAATTACACACAGGGCTGTCGCGATCCTTCCAACTTTGGAAGATGCGCTTTTTAATCATATATTATGTACCATGAGTGACGTTCACTTGGTTTACTTTCCCGTCGTGTATTGTGCTTGTTATTCCATCACTGTATTGTAACCAGTAGCCATGTATTGGTCATGTATAACGTATTAATAAGATTATGAGGTGCCACCCTCCCTCTCCATACCCCGCAGTAACGTCAACCCTGAATATAAAAACAATTTACCAAATCAGAAATCCTTATAATAATTGTACTTGCAGCTTACATGGTAACGCAGGACATCATTACACTGCGTAGATAGCTAGTTAACAAATTAAAATCACCGATATTATCAATACGATGAAGACACTATATCGCCTCATTCTTTTCTTTAAACCTCTTTCTCCTCTATCAACACTTAATCTCATTCAATTAGAACAGAATAGACGCTCTAACCGACTACTTCACCATTCTTGTTGAGTCAACATTTCTTTCACTTGGACATAAACAGTTCTACAATCTTTTTTAGTACGAATAGCTCAGTAATGACGATAACAGTAGTCACATCTCTTACTATTAAATGTTTTAAAAAACAAGATTTGATTGTCGTCTATGTCATGATCGTTGGTATACTAACATCTTGTTGTAGCTAAAATAAAAATCAAGTAATTAGTCAATATGGTCAATACCGACAGAAAACAGTTGATAATTTGAAAAACATTTTTGTATATTCTATGTGTTTTACAAAAAATAAATTCATAACTTAAATCAAAGTAAAATTTTCTAAAAGATGAACAGTACCTGTAGCGCAAATTTTTATGCTGCAAGTAAATATACGAAGGCCGTCTATATAATTTGCTTTTACCTTTATTTCGAATGAATGATAGGAAATAAATACGGATAATAAATACGGTACAGTCCTGACATTGGAATAAATATTAAATTGAGGAAATAATTTAGAAGACCACTTGTAGCTTACCCGAAAAGAGCCCTTCATAATTTCACACGCATAAAAATAATTTAGTATTTTAAATACAGTAAGTATGCACAGCAATGAGCCTAAGTTAGATATTATTCCCATGAGGAAATTTTGTCGAAGTTTTACGACGTTGGAGTGGTACAGTTGCAACATCAAATGCGTGGTGAATTTCTTATAATTAAGAATTTCTTTTCACGTGTGTCCACACACTGTTTTACGACTTTCACTACTAGTAGTAACCACGTGTGAAAAATATGACACGAAAAGTTTCCGTGAGCAGTACACGCGTTGTCATAAGTGGAGTATATTATTTACGCGTGCCCACACACTATTTTATGATATTCACGTGCGATTACAGTTCATTTCACGATATTTACGGGTGTACATGCCGTTTTATACACTAAAATTTCTCAATAGATTAATTATACTTGAACTAAAGTGTTGACTGAAATTTTCTATATGCATAGTGAAAAAACTTTTTGAGCTGTGTCATGTAAGAATAGAACAGGCTTTTGACCTTCGATTTTCAACATAAGCTTCCCAATAGCCTTCAGTGAAATATTATAGAAAATGGTATAGAAAACAACTGGCTGCTGCTTCGGATAGTAGTAAATTCTCTTCCAGAATTGAAGGCCATGGTCTTCTATTACGGTTAGGTATGCTTGAGAACTGGGGCTATTGATTTTTCAAAAACAATTTTCTATCTAATTAAACCGAAAGGCACATCACTAGATACAGTTTTTCACGATGATCACGAAAATTAATTTTAAAATTTATAAAAATTAAAACTTCAACGTAAAAATTAATTATTAAGTTTAAATTACTTTTGTAAAATTAAAATTGAATTTCAATTTCCTCACCTAAACATTTTCTTGAAAAAAATTCCAAACTATGCTGATCGGTAGAGCATTCAATTCTCTACAAAATGGCTTATTTTTTTTCGAACTTTCGATTCTTAGGTGTTACTGCCAAAAGAGTTTTCTGTAAAACCAGTTTTTTTTTCGAAACTTTTGGAACGAATTCAAAAGAAATTTTAACTATCGATAGAATTTAGAATTTCTTTTGAATTCGTTTCAAAAGTTTCTATAAAAAACTGGCTTTACAGAAAACTCGTTTGACTCTAAAACCTGGAAGTTCGAAAAAAATAAGCCATTTTGTACAGAATTGAACGCTCTATCAAGCAGCATAGTTTGGAATTTTTTTCAAGAAAATGTCTAGGTGAAGAAATTGAAATTACAAAATTTTGAAGCTTAAAATTTAAATTTTTACGTTGAAGTTTTAATTTTTATGAATTTTAAAATTAATTTTCGTGGTCATCGTGAAAAACTGCATCTAGTGATGTGCCTTTCGATTTAATTAGATAGAAAATTGTTTTTGAAAAATCAACAGCCCCAGTTCTTAACAGTTTCAGTTCTTACAGTTAACAACTGGAACTGGTGCATACCTAATTACGGTCTGGCACACTGAACATATTTTTCTAAAAAGTTTCTAGAATAGAGCGATTCTACAAAAAAGTTTCTTCAAACTGGGCTTCTAATATGAGATGGTACTTTAATCCGAGGAGGGGTTTAGTCCCAATCTTAATCGGGGACTGACCCGTCTTACGCGTTTATTAATAATTTAGCATAAGCTTTGAAAATTCATCACTGGATACCTTGTAAACACAATTGAAATTTAGAAACTTTCATGTATGAGCGCTAGTTTTATGTTGCAATTCCATAACCCCGACGTCCTGAAAAAATAAAACGATAATAAAAAGATCATATGACAACATTGGTATGCATTTGTATCGCTAGAAGAACACAAATTGTCATGGAAAACATCTACGTTTCCTAAATCCGAAAAACATACAGCATCATATTTGCTAGTGGAGAAGCATTTATTTTTTGTGAAAATAAATATGTAACAATGTTCCGCTGTTGATCTTATCTGACGGTATGCTAATAAAATAATTTTTATTTTAAAAGTAAGCATATATTTCAACAAAATCTTGTTTGTTTCTCCCATCTGTCGCCTCCTGTATTCGATATAAAAGAACGTTAACCCAGAAGTTTTCTTTTTGACTTGTTAAGAGTCAAACATAGCTTAACTTGCACATCAGCGTTCATTTTGTGCTGAAAAGTAGACGTCCTTAGGTGTACAGATCCGAGGTAGGCATCTACTGGGGTAACAATCACAACGTGCAAGTACATTTTGAGACGATCAAGAGACTCCCCTAATAAATTATAGTTTCCCCAAGCTTTTTAGTAGTACAAAAGTAGAGATAGTAATATTCAGGTACTTCGTTGATATTGCATAAATTTCAATGGCCATTCTAATTCGTCAAATTTACACAGTAATTGGACTCGTATTATACCATAATAGTTGGTCAGAGTTATTAAAAAAGCTTGTCAGAGTTGCCCTGTGGAGCGGAAAGTGGGAAAACTTCCGTGACCTTTACAAAAACACTGGCGCAACTATGTTTCTACAGCCTTATCTACCAACATTCTTGTCTATTCTTAACAAGAAATTAAGACTATGTCCATTATAAGACTATGTAAATCTCACATTTCAGTTATGCAAATCCAAACATTTTCCTCGAAGAACGGACGTGTCCTTGGAAGTTTTCATTAAATGCATAATACATGTAGTGCTGCTTATTCACCATCTAATGTCTGTCTGTCTGTTTATATTGAGTTAAATTAAGCAAGATGTTTATTATCATCAACAAGAAACGATAATATATTTTTATCAAAAATAGTTCGTTCAATAATGATAAATTGACCCTTACGTGGCAAGTTGAAAAGAAGAATTAACCATATCAGAGTTTTGATCGTCTCAAGAGAGAATTTAGATCCAACTCTTCATATACATCATCTTAAAAACAATACCAAGTAAAGTCTCAGTTCATCGTATGACTATAATACTATTTAGATTGCTTCCAGATATTGAATGAGCTCATTTAATTCAAGCATTCGTTCATCTGGTCGCGCTTTGTACATCAAATTCTTGGAAGGATCAATAATATAAATTCTCAAAGGCCAAGGCGAATAGATTTTTTCAAATGTGTTAGCCATATTGTCTAAAACAACAGGTATCTTGAGATCAAAATCACGCATAAAATCTTTTGATACAGCAATTCGATCTTGAACAGTCATAGTTTGATTATAGAGAATTGGGCTACCATGTGGACTAAATCTTGCGCTGCAAATTGGCCATTCATCTTGAGCATGAGCTGAACATGAAAAGTATGTACAATTTAACTTAAAAAGTAGTAAACATATCAAACACCTTACCTTCCAAAATGTACACAAACAAGAAATTGACTTTATGATGATATTGTGCATAAAGCTCTAAGAGTCTACAACAGTAAATTATATAGGCACTCGTCATTTCAAAATGAAAAAATTTGATCTAGTATCTTACTTGGGTATAATTTGTCTTAATGGAGGTCAAGAGTACGATCCACTGATAATGACGGTTGATTGTTCTGTCTGTTCAAGACTATCGAACAAACGGCTCTCGCTCCCATCTAATTTAATTATTGGAGTATCTGGAGCAATACTGCCCACATGAAGATCTCCATCGCGAGCACGATTATTTCTTATATAAAGAGGAATATCTTTGAGATCTGGATATATCTGCGTGGCACATCGAAGACAGTTAAGTGCATCATCCATCTCATCTTCTAATCCAAATTCTTTTATAATTTGTTTTTGAAGATCATGTGTTACATCCAACCAAGACTGATCATTTGAAATCTCGGCTTGAGCATATCTCTCTTGTATTTCAGGTGATCGACGTAGTTCATCTTCTCGAATAAGCATGCGTTTCAAGACTCCCTTCGGAATTAAAGAAGTGCGATCTTTCTGCATACCAATCAATTCCTGCATGAGAGATGTAAGATATATTTATTTTACACTCAATTATAGATGAAAAACGCGTAACTCAGCTACCGGAATCTCTGTGCATTACCGTTTTTTCTCTTTTCGTCTATCCTATAATATTCGGAAAGGATATCGTAGAATCCTGGAAAGCGTCTTGTTTTGTAGAATGAAGTGCGTTCTTCAAAATCCACCACTAGCTCAGTTCAAAATAATTGACGCTTTTTATCCTGTACTTAAAATACGAAGAGCCCCCAAAACATTGTCGTTTGTTTTTAGGGCTTTTAATATTTCGATTGTAACCGAAAAGTCGTCAATTATTTCCAATTGAGCTACTAGTGAATTTTGAAGAACGCACTTCATTCTACAAAACAAGACGCTTTCCAGGATTCTACGATATTCTTTCCGAATAGTATAGGATAGACGAAAAGAGAAAAAACGGTAACGCACAGAGATTCCGGTAGCAGAGTTACACGTTTTTCATCTATAGTAACGTAAGCGAAACTCGATCCTCTTACCTGTATAAGTTGCTCACGAGTCATAGAGAGCACATTTTGTTCAAAAGTAAGATCTTGATAACTCAAATTCTTCCTTCCACTTGTTACATGAGCCATTCCCATTTTCGTGAGAGAAATTTCAATAATTTTAATTAGTTCTACAACTTAAAATAAAATATGAGATTTGAATAATTTATAGAAAATGGCAGCACAAAAGATAAAATTCAATACTGCTGATGCTTGATTCATTTTTTTCCGCTTAAATTTATCAATTCAAACACACACGAATGTTTCTCTTTCACTTCTTGGCTACCCAAGCAAAAACGACCCAATTTTTTGGGTTATTTATCTGAATTCAGCTCCACGTGCATCTAAATGTACGTGGAGCTGAATCTAGATAAATAACCTAAAAACACAATCATTTTATTGAAATGATCACAACATACATTGTTTCGTTATTATTCACACATCACACACTGTTACTCTTTTTTTGAAAATGAATAATTTCTGAGTGTATCTAACAAGCTTAGAATGAGTCATTTTCTTGTTATTTCAATAGATGACTGTTCTTTCGCTCACAAAAGATGATTCATTCTGAGAAGACCCATTCAGAAGAATAATAGTGTGTGATGTATGAATAATAACGAAACAATATGTGATGTGGCCATTCCGATAAAATGATTGCATCTAGATAGCGAAAACACCTCACACACACACACAGCAATAAAATATGAGTCATAGAAAAGTAATGTTAGAGTTTCTTCTCATGTATGCAAACTCAAATACAGAGCCAAAAATGAAAACAGGAAGATTTGCGTGAATTGAAGAATCACGAAAAAGAAATGTTTTACTTGTCGTTCTTAATAAATACACTGTACTTGTCCGAGCTCTGTATGAACTCAAAATTCTGAGTAATCTAGTCCGAGTTCATGACAAATAGTTTTTCAGCCTATGGACTCTGAAAAAGTAGTAGCCAGATAGTAGTCAACTGTGACAATACAAAAATCGTGGTCTATGGGTAATAAAATTGACAGTGTATAGATAATCTATTATAACGGATCAATTAGAAATACTTCCAACCTCCTTCGAATCTGCAGAGAATGTGCAGAAAGCTTTTAGCTTTATATTAAATTAGATGGTTTTTCGGTGGAATCAGAGAAGTTCATAGCGTTTCTCATCTATACTGGTTGCGAACGCCGACAGAAGGGAAGCGTGCGCATTATTTTAAATTCAGAAATCGTTTTAGACCTCTTGAGATTTTTGCATTTTATATTTATACCCTAGTCAAGACTCCCGGCCAAAGTCCCGCGGGACTCCCGTCACGGGGTCTCGTCGGGAGTCCCGCGGGATTTTTGATAAACTCCTGCGGGAGGCCCGAAAAATCTACACAAAATTGAAAAACGTCCCACGAGAGCCCCGGCAGGATCCCGTGACGGGAGCCCCTATAAAATCCCACAAGAGTCCCTCAAGACAGCTCGGAAACGTCTTAAATTAAATATTCAACTCTTTTCTGCATTTTGAGATCTCTTCGGACTCTAGAAAATCTATTCTCAAAAAGTTATGGCTT